TCACATTTGAACTCGTCGTCTTCCTCGTCTACCGTCCTATGTCTTCGTCGACGTTCTCGAAGGCCTATGTCCCCGGTCCTGAATTTGACCTTAAGCTTTGTTCCTGCATCCATTGGTCCATGTAGGTAGTCCTTGAACCCTATTCCTTCCTTCAACATTCCGCACACTTCTAGACCCTCCTTATCCTTGGTTTGTTTCCTTAGATTCTGTTCTTCTCTCTCGGCACAAGCAACAGATATCTTCTCCTTGAACCCCTGTAGACCCTCCGTTTCCAGCGTTTCATCTTCGTCGATGTCGAGCCCCTTCCATACGTCCTCTACAACCTTGACCCATTCCATGGGTTGTCTACCCCTCTTTTCGTTTGCCCACTTCGCCTCCCATACAACTCTCGGCAACCTCTCCTCTCCCATCCCGCACATGCGATACTGCCATGTCAGCTTCCTTGCGTCTCTTCCCGACCGTAGGGATTGGATCTCCAATTCTGCCCTGACGGCTGCATTACTTGTGCGCTTGGAGCATCCAAGTATGATTTCGCTGCTTTCATCTGCGCCGCCTCGAGTTCTTTCACTACCTTCTTATTTCCTTCCCATGCTTCTCCGGCGTACTCTAGCGGCGGTACGATTACGCTCTTCAAAACCGTCAATTTGATGCGTGTATCGAGGTGCCAGTTTGCGAGTATTGAGTGCAGCTTCCCTGCTCGTGCTTTGCCCTTTTCCGCTACCTTGGACATGTGTGCATTCCACGAGCAGTCTTTCGCGATCTCAGGGGGGGAGGGTTGAAAAATACTCTCAACTATCGCAAGGTTTCACCTCAGCAATTGTCAAGTACTACATATGTAGCATCTTGCTGTGTTCGTGCTACAGTGGGGTCCTACAAGAACGCCATTTGCAGCTGTACCGAAGTGCGGCACACTGCCAGCTAGGCACAAATCTTAAACTTGCCATGGGCCAGTGGACCTCAGCTTGCCTCCTCACCTTCCAAAGTGAAATTGCAGGTATTCGTGGACCGCCCGCTCCCCCTCGTACACCACAGAACCGCTCGCCGCCGTGCTTCTAGCCGCATCAACGAAGGCGTTGCTGTTGGTGGTCGTCGACATCCTGGTGTTCGTTTCAAGGAGATCGCCTTTGAGACTGGGTGTTTGTTGACCACGGCAGACTTACTTGTACGACCATTATTTCTAGACATATCTCCAACAACACTTTTGGTGAGGGTGTTGTTGTTGGAGTCAGGAATGGTAAATAGCTATGTTGGGCAACACCCTTGATTTCATCCCAGGCTCTCCTGCTGATTGGTGCAAAACGTGGGTAATCGAATCACAAGCTAGCCGGTGGCTACGGCGGGGTGAACTGCTTCGGGATCGGACCGGGGAGCGTGGAGCGTGGGGAGGGATTACAACGGTATTTGAGGGACAAGGCGATTGTGTGCAAAAGATACCTACTGCTGTACGTGTGTAGGAAGAACGCTTCGGTGATGGCAGAGCAAAGAGACAAGCAGCGTGTGTGAAAAGAGAAAAGAGGGGATTGTCCTCGAAGGATGTCGGGGAGATTTGGACCCTTCAAAAGGTCACCTACCTCAGCCTCTCTCTCGGTTGCTATGTAGGCAAGCGAAGGTTTCTAGGGTAAGCAGGAAGCAGACCGGCTGGCGGTGAGTCGATTCCCTTCTGAACGATCTAATGTGTGTGCAATGACGGGTGCGCTACAGTACGTCCTCCACGTCACCAGACGTTCCACGAAATCGAATGCCTCCGCGGTCCTCCATCATTTCTTGGTGATTCCACCATTCTTTGGTAACCCTGATCCTCCTACCAAAATGTAACATCACTCGGACGCCAACGTAAAAGAGGGAACGGTCCTCAACCAACGTTCGGGAGATGGGACCTGTATATACAAAGGGTACTTCCGCACGTGGGGTGGATGCTTGAATGTGGTCGCTCATGTTAGCGTATGGCTTAGACTAAAGCACGAACGGTGTTCATGTGGAGCGCTCACTCGTTGGTATAGAACAGGATATAGGGCGTGAAGAAATTGATGACACTCGTACTTAAAATCGATGAGATCAGCCAAGAGCGGAGACGCATGTCAGGTGTCCCGGGGATGGGAAAGTCGCTGCGTACATAAGTAAAAACGTAAAAATACACAGAACAGTATTTAATACAATTTTGTAGTAACATCGGGTTTTGTTCACATCTCCATTTAGTGTAATTTCCAGAAACTTACTTTTTGCTTCGCAAACACCGCATTGGTTCAAGCAACGCGAAGCAGTAGACAAACCCTGTGAGTGGAGTCAGAGGCTCCGGCGGATCGCTTCCGAGAGGCCAAGTACAATATCTGTAACTACGAGTCACAGCAGTACAACGGAAATGTTACAACAAGACCATGATTGGCAACAATTTCTTGCTTCACCAATACTTACAGTGTAAAGGATGCCCTCAAGCCGTACAGCATTACATGCACATGCCACAAGGGACATCGCATATTCAGGAGTCCCTTGAATCAACAAGAGCAGCATTTTTATTCGTATTCGTCCTTCACATCTTCACATACCGATTATAGGCAGTTGGCCAACCGGCACAAGAAGTAGCACTAGCAGCACCTCGGAAAAAGATGATGGCACGCACGCGGTTCATGACTTGGGCATCTCTGCCGTGCATGCTGCACAGCACACAGCACACAGCACACTCTGCACGCTGCTGTGCAGGCTCACGAGGATACCAATTGGAGGATACGTCGCAAGCGGCTCCGTGGATCATTACGTGGTACTCCAATTCGTGCGTTTATACCGGCTGCGTTGCCCCCGGTCTTCCCTCTGGCCTGTGCCACCTGGTCGAAAAACACAGCATCCGAGGGTGTGGATAACACGCAGAGATAGGGAGACAGAGGGAGGGTGCAGTTCGGCGTGTAGTAGGTCACTGTCGTTGCTTCGGCGAGCGTGGTGATAGAAGGCGGTCTTAGCGTCAGCGCACGGGAGAGGAAGAGACTTCGTGGACCTCAAATACGTATGGAGCCTCCCCAACAGCATGGGGAGCAAGCTCTGTACACCCAGAAGGACGGCGCAACCAACCCAAGCAGCGTCAGCGGTAACCCTAACGGTGATCTCAATGTGTCTGCCGACATTGTCGGTAGTGGCAGCGGCGGTGGCGCTGATGCAAGCAACGGCGTTTCCGACCTTGCTGGATTAACATCGGCAAAGATCGGGGGGAAGCCTCCGAGTGAGGCAGACAAGAAGGCAGCACCGAGGTGGGGACGATGATGTTTAGCATTTTGTTGTAGGTCGGCTCTGACGCTCGTGGGTGTACGGGGGCATTTTGCTTGCGCTGATATGGGTAGCAGCGAGTGGGTGGTGTTTAGATAATATACTCCAGTAGTCTAGACATTTTTGTCTGCTACACAGCAAAGAGCATCTGAAAACAGGGCGCGCTTTTTCGAACAAGCACACCTAAATACTTGCTGTCGCCTCTGCCTACACTGCGTACGGCTGCCTGGCTGACGGCCTGTTGCTTCGCGGTGACTCTTGCTCCCACCAACAACCACCTACCCCTCCTTGGGAGCAACCGTTTCCTCAGAGCAGAGTGTCCATGTCGTGTTGGCACAGCATGGTTAGATTGTGATGTGCCGCTCTTCAGTGTGCTCACGTACGTCTTTCAGCAACCCAAAAAACATGTCGACCCCGGGAACCTGGATACTGCTGTCCCCAAGTGTGCAGAGCTCGCCGCTCCTGATCGAGAGGACTACATAAGTCCAATACGACCCTGGATCCAGTAAGAGTTGACACGATCACGGGAGTACACGCTTGCCTCCGAAGAATGTAGTGGTAGACAGAATGCAGTGGTAGACTGGGTATGCTTTCGTGGCTCTCATGAGATGCTCCAACCCAGCGGACCAGCTTTCATCTCTTGTGTGTTGGCGTGTCCTCCGGCAGATCTGGGGGACCTGTGGCGGGCAAGCCAGGCAAAGACGGCAAGGGTACCAGCGGTAAGAAGAAGAAGACGACCGAGAACGGAGAGCGGAAGAAGAGCAAGGTAAAGTAGGTCGTGTTCGCGGCGGTCGCCACCTCGTTGGGCGTGTCCTGCGGAAAGCCATGATGGTGGCGGCTTTGTCTCTCGTGCCTTATTTCGATCTTGCCCGCCAGTTGTAATCGGCCGACCACCGCACTTGCCAACTATACTAGCTCCAAACTTCCCAGGGAAAGGTGAATGCAACAGGACGGCGTTGCCGAAGCGAGAATACTTTCTGTGGTGTGCACTCGCTGTTGCCCTCGCTGGGCATGATCGAACATGGTCCTCGCAACGCACTGACGAGCAGATCTTAACTCATAAACACGGGCCCGTCAAGAACTCGCTTGCCTGCTGATCTCACAACTGCGCCATTTAACGCGGCAGGAAGCTTTTGCCACACCGGAAACCGTGCGCTGCCACTGTACTCCTGACCCCATATCCGAGGCCCCTCATCTATTTGCCTCATCCACCAACTTTGAAGTTTCTCTGCTCCCGGGAATATTGTCCCGTCATGCGGTGAGCAGAAGTCCAAGAAGAGCGGCAAGCGTGGGGAGGCATCGGCAGGCGGGGCAGCGACGGGAGCGACGCCAGCGAGCGATAAGACCACCAAGAACAAAACCGTAGCTAGCAAAACGGGCAGCAAGACCAAGGGTGCGGTTAAGAAGGTCGCTGCGGCAAGCGCTACCAAGAAGAAGGAAGGAACCACCACCTCGAGGTGCGCGAACGCCGACTCGTTTGCGGGAGTTGTCTGCGTGTGTTGCGAATTTGTTTGATTCGTTCTGCAGGCCTGTGGCGGTGCCAACGCTGAAGCACCTCGTGTGTCGTATTTCGGCTCGATTATGTCCCCTCGAGAGTGCTCTGGGATGGGAGAGCGGCCATGTGGCCTTCAACAGCCACAACGCGTGCAATAGAGCAAGCTCAACTCTTTTTTTGGAAATTCTTGTTTGGTACTGCTGTACACATCCTGTCGTGGCTCCCCCACGCATCATGTTCTGTGGGCATACGATATTGGTCCATGCCGCCTCGCCGTGACTTAGCCCCAAGACCGATTGATTGATCGACCTTCGTGTTCGTGACGACATCGCTGCCGTTGCTTTTAGCAGCGGGAACAAAAGCAAGGACCGCGGCCGGAGTGATAGAGATAGTCGAAGCCCCAGCTGGAGCAGCCGCAGCCGGAGCTGGAGCAGTCGCAGCCGCAGCAGAAGCTGGAGCAGCCGAAGCAGCAGCAGAGGGAGGAGGGACAGCCGGTCGAGGAGCAGTAGCAGGCGGAGAAGGGATAGCCGTTCGAGGAGCAGAGAACGCAGCCGCTGGCACGGATCCTCTTATCGAGGTAGTGGCGGCGTCCGTGGCTACTCAAGAACGCCCCGCGAGCGTTCCTGGGATCGGTTTGGGAACCGGTCCAGGGACCAAGAGCGAGGCCGACCGCAGCGCGATCAGGAGAGGGATCGGGGCGGTGGGCGACGGGGCTATCGCAGGGAAAGCGATCCTCCTTCTGGCAACAGAGGTCGAGACCGTGATCGAGATCGTGATCGAGATCGAGACCTGCCGAGAGGGAGAGATCGGGAAGTTGTCGACCGGGGAAGAGGGGAGCGAGAGGAAACGAGGGATAAGGAACGCAGCGACGATGCCGACTCTAGAGGCCGTGTTGGCGACAGAGACTATCGCGGCGGAGACAGGAAGGAAGCTCGTAGCGGTATGAATGAGCCTCGCAGCGGAAACGGCAAGGAACAGGCCCGAGGCGATGGCAACGTGAAACCTCAGGGCGGCAAGGGGGACCCCAACGATGATATGAAGGAAGCTCGAGGGGACGTGAAAGGGCCTGTCAGCGAAAGGGAAGGGTCCCGCTCGGATAGACAAAATCCCGACAAAGACAAGAAGGAATCTTCGAGGGAAGGCAAGGATGAGCAGCAGCAGCAGCAGCAGCAGCAGCAGCCTAGGGTAGACAGGGGCGGTGAACAGCAGTATGGCGAGGACTCGCAAGGAGGTGGAAGCTACCGGCGGGACAGGGACTACCGACACCATGGGGTCGACGACCGCTACGGAGGAAACAGGGGGGGATACCGCCCTCGCGGGAGCAACGACTACTACGGCACCAGGGAGACCCGCAACCGAGAGCCAGCAGATCGCGACCAACGAGGAGAGAAGGGCTATACCAGGGACGGCAGGGACAAGGAGCACGATGAACACCACAGGGGTCAGGAAGGTGACCGCGGCGGCAGCGTGCACGGGGGAGAACAGCAGGGGCGGGGCATGGGACGAGAGCGCAACCCCCGCTCCGCGAGGACGGGGTCAGGGCTTGCAGACCAGCACGGAGACCGAGGTCCACCGGCGCCACATTCCGGGAGCGACGGCGGTCGGGGATGGGCAGGGGCTGGCCCCGGGGCGCACTCCGGAAGAGATGACGTCGGTGGCGAGAGGGGCGGGCCGAGAGGCGGATCGAGGGAACGCTACAGACGCAACAACGGCGAGAGCGGCGGCGGTCCCCCGGAGGGAATGCAGCACGATGGCGGCGGCCGCGTGGGGCAAGGTCCTTGGAATGATCCTCAGTTTCCCTTCCCGTCGGAGGGGCGGCCTCGTCCTCAACAGCCGCAGCGAGAGACGTTTAACGGGGAAAGGCGCCGGGGCAGGTCTCCCGGCGGTGTCGACGAAAGAGAGTTTGATGGGATGAGGGCGGGAGCCGGGGCAAACGGAGGGGATGGGCCGGGGCCAGTGCTGAGGTGAGGCCGCCGAGGGCTGCTACCGTCCGCCAGCCGGGGTTTGTCGGGGTGCGGGGCGGGGAGATGACTAGGCCCAAGCGCCAGTACCGTCTGTCCGTAGAGTGAACGTACTCTCCGATCACTACCGTCAAGCTCTGTAATGACGCATGACCGTCTCGTTGGAACGGCCTGCTTTGTCGTCTTGTCGTCCGGTAGGTGAGCGCGCTGTCATATCATGTCATGCCATGCCGTGCCTTGTTGAGATTACCTTGCTCTTCCCATCTCGCTCTCAGTCTTGTTAAGCATCCAACTCTTGCTGCTGTATTCCCGGTGGTTACGTTATCTGCCCACATGGTTCCCTGTTCGGTGGTTTTGCCGTGTGTTTGGTGTTTGTGCATCGGTACAGGGACAAGCGGAGACGAAGTGGCAGCAGAACAACCGGGCCTTCGGAGACCGACCAAGCACCTGGGGATTCGTTTGCCGGGTCCGGCACCGGAACACTCACCGCTGGACCCGGGGCCTATGGACCAGGACACTCACCCGCTAAGCGTTTGAGGTGTGCGTGTGTGGTGATAGTCCCTGGAGAGCGCCGCATGCGGGCGAATCGCACGTTAGCGTTCGGGGAGGAGGGTGAAAGGAATTAGTCTGCCTGCTGATTTTCGTTTTTTGTTCGTTTTCCAGTTAGGTTAGAAGGTGGGATTGAAAGGCTTCAAAGTGTCGGAATATGTACAGGAGAAAAATGCTGTCGCCCACCCCTGTGCCCAACTTAAATTGCTGCAGATTGGTCCCCTGTCCTTCTCGCAGATCGGCTGGTCTCCGCAACCACAGTGGAAAGACGTCATCAACACTGCGGCGAATCGTAGAGCTTAACTTGTTTCGTCGCACTCAACTATGAGATGCTATATCGTGATAGTCCATCTCTTTGCGTGTTTGCTTTTCATGCGGCAGGGGTGACGAGCCTCTGCCGTTCGCAGATGTGGGAATAGCGGCACCGGGGGGTCGGGGAGGGATGAGAGGCGAAGAAGACATGCTGCGGCGCCCCCCTGGCATGCGCCCCGGCGGACCAGGACGGGGCGTCGAGCCCGAAATGAGAGGCCCGGAGCCTGGGATGCAAGGCAGGGGGATGGGTGGCGGCCGGGGCAGAGGAGGCGGCCGCTTTGGGCCAGAGGGAAGAGGTGGGCGAGGAGGTGTTGAGTGCGTGGAGGGAGGCCGAGGAGGGGACTTGCCCCCCCCGGATGGCTACCGGATGGACGTCCCCCCCGGGCAGATGGACAGGTGAACGAGGCAGCGGTATGTGGGGTGATACATAGCTTGGCAATAGCATCGACATGGACGGTAGAACCTCTAGAGAGGGTTTAAGTGCTCCTCTCATAAACGGCTCGTATCGTGCGTGCGAATCTGTCGGATAGATCTAGCTATTAATAACAGTCCTTGGGGCGCCGGGTTGTCTTGGCACGATCCTCGCCCCGCACCTCCAAAGTATGCCCGAACACTGGAGCAGCCCTCATGTACAACACGTCTTGTTGTCCCGTTGTCGTTATTGTAGTATTGTACTTTGGAAACACGTGGGGAAGCTTGGTTTGTCTCTCTCCCATGTATTTTTCCGTGTTGACAGTATGCACACCGTACAATAGGAGGAACAGGCGAACGACTTGTTACGATCTGACTGTTACTTGGTATGGTATGGTTGTGAGAGAGGTTTATCGACCACCAAGAACACTGTTAAGTTCGTGGTAAACGTATATAGATCCGCCACGTAGAAGATGACCAGTGCTTGTGAACAGAGGTACGTCGCGTATATCATCTCGCCCTCGACGTGGATGTCTACGCAGTTCTCTCTTGTGTGTTGATGCTCTCTGTGTGTTGGGATATCTTCCCATAGCCGCATATTTGCATCCCATTTATCTTTCCTTCTTGGTCTTCGATGCCTTTGGAACTGAGTACCGATTTTCGGCCATAGCCTGCAAATTTGGTATATGTGGGAATTATATCGTAGTTGTTGCCCTATCCCAAACTTGTCCGCTGACTTGTTCTCCTGGCACCACCCCTGCCTGAACGATTGCACGATTGCGCGACAGGATGGACCGGGACAGGATGGACAGGCACCAGCACCAGGACAGTGACCGAGGTGGCCGCAGGGGACCCCCTCTCGTCGACAGAGACGGCCAGCCTCCCCCACCATGGGCGAACGGCGCCTTGGACGGCCCTCCCGACGGAGGCCGGGGGGGAGGCGGACGAGGAGGAGGAGGACGAGGAGGAGGAGGAGGAGGAGGAGGAGGAAGAGGAAGAGGTGGCCCGGGGTCGACAGGGATGGGACCGTTGAACCGCATGGATCCAGGCCAGCCGCGGATGGTGCCGGCCAGGTCACCACCAGAAGGGGGCTTCGGGCCTCCAGAGCGGGTATACGGGAGAGGCGGGCGGGGTAGAGGCGGCGGAGAGTTCGACTTCGCGGGGGGTGGGGGGGGGCGCGGTCGTGAGCGGCCGCCGTTTCCTCTGGGCGGCGTGGATGGGGCACCAGAGGGGAAGTACGACTCAGCAGGTGAACTTTCTTGCTTTTGCGGGTGTGTGGGTGTGTGGGTGTGTGGGTGGGAACACGCTTGTCTTGCGTGTGAAAGAAGAGAATTGCTGTGCTGCCTGCCCTCTGGGGGATTTGACACCTCGCCCGGGGTCACGTCGTTGCGCCTTTTACTTTCATTCTTCATTCGGTGATGCGTGTGTGTGCTTGACGGATGGGCCGCGGTGTGCGCACGTGTGATACACGTGTGCGTGTATCTCTAGTTTTCGGTTACTGCCTCCGTAGCCCGATGACCATCGAAAATACGTGGTATGTGCTGAAAGTGGATAATGCTTCGCACGGGTACTAACTGTCGACGAGGTACCTATAGATGGGTCATGGCTTGGGAGGATTGCGAGCTGTTTTTTGTATTTGTAGGCGAGCGTCGTGTGGATTCCAATTGCGCACAAGCAGGCAGTATCGACCATTGCACTGAGAGAGGTCGAAGGTCAGAAAGGAGGGTTTGCGGAACAATACGTGTAATGCTCCTTCTTGACTCAGATGCGTACGTGACATATCAGCGCTACTCCGTAATGATTTCGAGGGCACCAACTATACTTGCCATCCCCTCACTCTTCATGATTATGTTTCCCTCCCTTGCCGTGTGCATCCGTTGTTTGACAGGGCAAACTGCGGTTTCAATTTCGCCCAGATCGCTCAACAAAAAGCGGTGTTGTTCAGATCTCTGCGAGTGTCCGCCCAGGCGGTGATCGATAGCCTTTGGTTTATTTCGAGCGACAAACACCAGCAACAGTTGATAATGTTTTTTTTGCGGTAAGAACGTGTGCCGCAAGGCAGCAGATGGTGCTTGCATGCCGTCCGTTGTAGCAAGACTATCGCTACACGCGACCCCCGCCCCCGCCCCTGAACACACTGAACAAACACATATGCAGGCCGAGGACCAGAGGCAGTCGGGCCGAACGCTCGTGGCGGTGGCGGCGGTGTACCCCCCCTTGAACCACCCAACAATCTGTCGGGCCCCCCCGGCCCAAGACAAGGAGGTCGAGATCGAGCGATGTTAGGGGGGGGAGGAGGAGGACCCGACCGGCCGATGGGTGGACCGGAGAGAGGGTCAGGACTAGAGATGGGCGGCCGCGGGGGGCGGGGCGGCGGCGATCGCCACAGCGGCGGCGGTCGCGGCGCCGGCCGCGCACCCGACAGACTGGAGCAAGAAAACATTGCCGCCCCCCCCGGCGGCGGCAGACGGGGGGTACCCCGCCCCCCTCCCGGATTTTGGGGACCGCGGGGTCCCCCTCCTTCCGGACACCCCGCCTGGAACGACCCGGCTCTCGAGCAGTACATACCGAGGCAACAACACGGGAACGGGGAAGGAGACGGCGGCTGCCCGGGAGTAGGGCGGGGGGGGAGAGGAGGACGAGGCCCGGGCTTCTATCCGCCCCGGGGCGAAGGAGTGAGAGGAGGAGTCGGGGAGCCAAGGCGGCAGCAGCAGCAGGATGGGGGCCCGCCGCTTCACTTCGATGGTGCGGGGGGTCCCGGTGGTGGTGGTCAGCCTCCCCCGCCGTGGGCCGCAGCGGGCGGTCTTCCGCTGAGAGGATTCGGGGGGCCTCAGCAGCATCAGGGCCGGGGTGGTGCCGGATCGGGTGGTCCAATTAGAGGGCGGGGGCAAGGCAGCGGCCGCGGCGGCCGCGGCCACGGCGGCCAGAACGGATCTCGAGGGTCAATGGTTAGACCGGACGAGGGCAGGGGGCCACTGCCGCCGCCGCCGCCGCCGCCGCCACCGCCTGGTGACGGCCTGTGGCGGCCGATGGGGACGGCACCGTGGGAGAACGGTCGGGGCGACGTGCTTCCGCCGCCGCCAGCAGGCGCAGGGTGGGGGCCGGGAGGAATGGGGGGAGGGGGGAGGATGGGTCCCGACGTGGGGATGCAGGGGTGAGTTAGACTTTAGAGCTGCCGGGTTTTGGGGGGGCGGGGGCACCCGCCTGTGTTACGTCGTTGGCGTTGGCGTTGTTGGCAAGTGCACGGCGTGGATATAGTAGCAGTTCGGTTTTGTAGTGGCGATTCAATGTTCGCATGGGGTGATATTGGCACCTGCGCGATAATGATGTTGACTGGGTCATACTTTTATACCTGAAAGAAGAAGGCAGGGCGTCACTCGACCTCCCAGTTGTCTCCGTCCAACGATGCATCCCATGGTACACTGGCAGCAGGCAATAAACAAGATCACAAAACCAAGACCGACGCTTGTCAAAATGTACCCCCATTCCCCCATTCCCCGTTGTCCAGCAACTGGGAGCAGGAAGGCGGGGGCATGGGGCGGGGCGACAGCAGGGAGAGGGTGTGGGGGCCCCCTGGCCTCGGGGGCGGCCCGCCAGGAATTGGAGGACCGAATGGTCCAAGGCTTCGGAGATCTCGATCCCGCTCCGACTCCCGGCCGCTCAGAGGTCCTGGCCCCCCTCCTCACGGTGCATGGGAAGCAAACAACAACAATATGAACAACAGGGGAGACGGGCGAGCGCCAAGAGGAGGAGAAGGATTCGGCGGCGAGCGATACGGTGAGGGTTGCGTGTGCACATTGTTTGGTTTCTTACAAAGCGAGGGAAGGTGGAAATGTCAACCTGATCCTTGCCTTGTGCTGCGTGGCGGTACACTCTGTCCTTCGCATACTTCTACCGGTGTCAGATGTCGGTTTCGAAAGAACGCAGTACTTGTCCCGACGCTACAATAGATACCGCTGCTTTTGCTGTGTACCTTCTGTCCTTATCGAAATACTTAGGACATGTTCAGGTTCCACGTGGACAAATGAAGTCAGTGTCATACATACCATGGCATGGAGCGTCGTATGTGTCGACGGGCCCGGCCAGTGAACACTTGGTACACTGTGCACAAAGGCGGTCTTACTTATTATTAGAATTTGCAGTTGCACTTGTACTGTAGGGAACTGCAACGATCGATCACGTTTGTACGCGACTTGTGTTATTTGCGTGCCTCCGTGTACACCCAGGTGAATTGTACAGCAGGTATGATACATTCGTGTTTCGTTTTTTCTGGGTGGAGGCGAATGTGGTATCTCTGCCGCATTGTGGATGATATTCTCCTTGGTCTCTGTACCAATGATGCATCACATCACGATTTTACACTAAACGACGATACGTTTAACAATTCGGACGAGTCCTTAGACTCACCCTATTCCAAAACTCTTCTGATAGTCTCAACGGTGATGATCAACGACAGCGGCTGTCCCTGGTTCCATGCTGCGCTCATTGACACGCGTCCCTTGCCTTCTTCCGGGCTGCCCATCGTGATGACTTCCACCGACAGGCCCCCCCGGCGAGCGAAGACAGCCCCCCTACGGCGGTCACCAGCAGTCACAGCAAGACCGCTGGCAGGCCGATCAATGGCAGCCACACTCCCAGCACGGCCCTGGCGGCGACTTCCCGAGGTTCCCGATGGATGATGACTTGGAGGCGATAGCGGAGGCGGAAGCGGCGGCCCAAGTGGCCGAGGCGAAAGCGGAGGCGGCCGCGGCCGCTGCAGCTGCCGCCGCCGCCGCGGCGAAGGAGGAGGAGGAGGAGGAGGAGGAGGAGCAGACCAAGGCGGCTGAGGTTGATCCTGCAGTTGTTGCCGTGGTGAGTTTCGTGCGACCCTACCTTGCCCGTCCTTGGGAGGAAAGCGACGCGAGCTTTTCTTGGGCCCAGCTCGCCCGCCCTTGACGCGACTCGCCAAAGCACCTCACGAACTGCTATGCCTGCCTAGTCGAATGTATCGTGTCAGGCGTTCTTTGCTTTCGAGCTCATGCATGCATCTACGCGGGGTCTCTGGCAGCAAGTACGCTCGGACCACGCACGATGCTGATTTCTGCCATTTTGTAGCTCAGCACCTTGTTGATAGTGCGGAAGGCCAATATTTGGTACCAGACTTTTTACCAACACACGTGGCTGGCTGTCTTGATTCCGTCGCCACCTTTCCTGTCAGAGTCAGTCTGCCCCCAACACGCTATCATTTCATGTTACCACCCATCCTCGTCTGTTTGTCCGCGTTCCCAACCGATCCTGTTTCATTACGGAACACGACGAAAAAAAGGCGGCCAACCTGGCGCCGGTGTGCGTGTCACGGCAGCTGCTGTCGGAGGGCGCTTACCGCCGCCTGGCCCTCGCGCGTCAAGCCGGAGATGATGTCGAGGCCGGGCTTACCTTCGAACCTGAGGAGGGATACGACGACGAGAAGGAAAGGGGTGCAGGTGCGGATGTAAAACCAAAGGAGCAGGGAGGCGTCAACGCTGGAACCGCCATGGGCAAAGGGGCGACGCCTGCTAGCGGCACGGGGATGGACGGCGGTGACAACGGCTACGGGGACGGCATCAACACGACCCTGGCACAGTTGGCCACGGACGACAGCGGCGGCGGCGGCGGCGGCGGCGGCGGCGGCGGAGGCTCTCCGGATGGCGCAGAAGACGAGGACGACCTTTACGGCGATCTCTACGGCGGCCTGGACGACGACGGTGGCGGTGGGACTGACATGGACGGCGGTGGCCGAAATGGCGGCGGAGGCGGGGGGAGTCAGGACGGCGCGGGCGGCGATGGCGGCGGCGTGGGCGAGGAGGACCAAGGTGCCCTAAACGGAGGCGGTGCGCTGGAAGCAGGAGGGGGGGACGGTATGGCTGAGGAGGTCAGCACTCGTGCCGTTATGAACGCTCTTAAGGTAAGAGAGGCAGGTGTGTCATACCCGCCGCCGTTGGCGGTGTGCAGAGATTTTACGACGGGGTGTCAAGGCCTTGGTTGTTTCATGGACACTGCTATGCTTTCTTCTTGTACGGGTGGGTGCTGTGGAGTAACGCATACGCACGAGGTACTTGCCGTCCCGTGGACATTCTAAGGACATGTTTTTTAGGTGTGTGGTGGTGGTCCCACCAAACAACGCTCTTGTGTTTGGCGTCAAGCACCGCTTGCGCTGGCGGCAGTGCGTACTGGTGCTTGAAGCAGCTGGCTTGCTTCAATCCAAGATGTTCCATTGTTTTCTCTTCATGAAATTGTCGGCAACGAGCCCTCCTCTCACCCCCCGCCGCTTAATTTCCCTCACCCGATTGCCCCCCCTGTCCCTGTCCCCGTTCCCTCGCTCGATTAACACAGAGATTGGAGGGCCCAATTTTCATCCCTGCACCTCCAGAGGCTACACCTGTGTCTTCGATGTTGGGGAACATCTCCGTTGGGCTTCCCCTCGATGTTTTGACGGCGCCCGAAACGTACCATTAGTCCCGAAGTCTCATTTTCAATCGATCCTCTCTGCTGGAGTTGCTACGGGGGTGAAAGCCCTAGCCATCGCACCTTGGGTTTGAAAGGTTGCATCCCGTAAGGGGGGTGGGTGCTGTGTTTTCAGCGGGTTGTCGTGCACCCGCCCTGTGCTGTTATTGTTTCGATGATGTATACCTACTCAGTACTTCGTATTAAGTTCTTCATGAACGGTTGTTTCGTATAAGTACAAGGTAGTTTACATTGCTTTTTCCTGGGAGTCGGATTTGGAGAATGTTTTCGGACAGGCCAAAAATAATGGTGGTGACCAGCATGTGTTGGTTTTGGAAGGAAGGTGTTCGATCTTTGTCTGGTGTGGTTGCAGGCGTGGAGTAGCTGGCTTCGCTGGTGGTGGCAGGTTCAGGGTGCAGGTCAACGTGTTATTGTTTGGCCGAAGCATTTTTATCGAATCACAAGAAACGTTGATTTGTTATTATTGTTGGAAAACCAGGAAGGCACCGCTCCGACCTGAATCTTGTCGGTTCGCTGTCTCACCTTGCCGGCAGTGCAAGCGGGTGCTTTGCTACATTTCATGACATTGGTGTGCCTTGGTGGTGGTAAACGGCGGGTTCTGCTGCTAAGGTACATTGAAGCTCGGGCGTGAAAATAAGGGAGAGAGTGAAGGAGCATTTTGGTCGTTCGTCCGATGACGCGCGAAAAATTAGTTACTCGTTCAGATTGCCTCGTTCAAGAATGAATCAAATCAACATCGAAGGCAAGATCGTCGAGAGTAAGAAACCGTTGACAAGCCAAGAGCTCCGGACAAACGCGACGCCACCCTCGAAACTGCCATAGGTCCAACCAAGCGACGAAGTACTCCTCTGCGACGATCATGTGCCTCGGGATGATCGAGACAATGCGTCCGTACGTTGCAAACGTGTGCAGATATGACGGGCACGGATGTTGGTAACGTGCCCCAAACCGGTTGTCAGTCCAGGGAGGCCTCCGCACTCAGAAATCGTGTGCCGAGCCTTGACGAGAACGAATGTGTAGTCGAAATGTTTAACGTACAGCAACTGATTACGTCGCGAATTTATTTTTTGGTCTTCACTTCAAATCAGGGCTCACAGCATTTATTTGTGCCGTTTATTCCAACCGTTGGACACACGGAAGGGGTCCTCTCCCTGAGGGTCCCTACCCACCCATCATGTGGTGCTTTGCCTTCGATTTCTGGTGCGAGAAGAATGCAGCACTATATTCCCTGTGTACACACGAACTACTTGTAGCGCTTTTCACCTGGTCCATGATCAGCTTGAAACTACGAAATTCGAGAATCAAACATCCTGCGTCTCAGGATGGATGAATGTATTATTAATGTGCTTGCCTTTGGTATGTTTCATGATCGTGAACTCGTACAGGTTAAAACGAATGCGGACATGCGTGCTCTCCAATGCAAGCTCTAGGGTGGGTTTCGCCCTCTCGCGAGCAACTACAGCAGAACCTCGACTAATAAAAGGCATCGCTCCTAGTAGCTCGGGGCCAAAACCAGTAGACACCGTGCTTTATCGCCTCGGTTGGATGGAGATAGGGCAGCAATTTCTTGGCACGCTCCGCCGCGAACTTGAAGGTGTGCTCGCGAACCCCCAACGCCGCTGCCTTACGTATGACCGATATCGATGGAGCCTCTACGTCGTCCACGGGAAAGGCCGCAGCCGTGAGGATCGTTTGCAACGTGCGGCTACCCTCGTTGGTTCTACGTTGTGTTTGCGCCATTTCGATTGCTCGCTCCAACGAGCCTGCTATGCTGGCCTTGGCTTCCAACTCTCGCAAGCGTTTACGGGTGTCCTTCGCAAACGTCGAGCCGATGTTTTCCAAGTGTCTTTGCGCGTTGTCATACCCCATGCTGTCCATGGACGCGAGAAATTTTCCCGTAGACTGCTGGCGGCAGTCGACCGGCGCCGTCTGTGTGCACGCATGACGAACGAGTAGGCGGGGGGTACGACGTTGTCCAACGCAATAATAAATAAGCGCAAAGCACGACTGATGGAGAGACCATTGCACCCACAAATTTGGGCACTTATTTTGCGTGGGAACCAACCAGACGGGCTCTGGCTGTACAACTACGCGACTTCGATCCTCTCGGTGGAATAAAAACCAATTATTCGTGTCTCGGCGAAATCACCGCATGTGTTGATTGATAATATTAAGTGTTATTTGTTTTTTTTCTCCCATCATTGGACTCTGTCGTCTGCCCCTCTGGCCCCTATCCTCCACTTCTGCCAGCTAGAGGACCCAACCGGAGTGGTCACATAGGAGGGGGGGGTTGAACCCCCTCCTGCGGTTCCTGCCTAAGATATTATTATCGCGAGAAGGGTACGGCAGTAATCCCTTCCCTCGCGACTTATGAAGTCGATCAAGTTTACTAACAACGAGCGTTGCCGCGCGTCGCTTCCAACGGAGACCAGGATTCAATGAGCGAGAAAAACTTACTGTCGGGACTCCAACCCATGACCTGACGCATAGCGTATGTACAGCAGTAGTGGACCTCGACAAACTTATCTGCTGTGCAGTTGATGGACTGAAACCTCTAGGCGACATTAGCATCTCACCGGCTCAGCTGGCTGAATTGCCACCACCCTGGATCGCGTCCTGCCACCTCCTCGCAAAGCCGCCATGACGGGGTCGGCTACCTCTGTCGGCATTCCTCCTAGCGCCACCACCGCTGCTGCTGCCACCCGAATGTCCGTGAACCTTCTCCCTCCTTTCGTGCTTGTTCTTGAGAACGCTGTGAGCCATCGCCAAGGCTTTTGAGGTTACACTTTCTTAGGTATTCTCAACGTAGATCTGGTTCCTGCTCGAAGGCCTGTTGGGGTTCTTCTTGTCGACGAGAGTCGTGGTCAACAGCACCTCTCCGCTACCCTTGTTTAGTCTCCACTCATGCCGTATGACACGTTTCTCCTTTCCTAGCCAAAGTATACGTTCGCACTTGCCCGGCTTCGACACAGGTAGGTGCCGCTGGCCCAGCTCCAGCTGCACTCATGTTTGACAGCGCGATCAGCTGAGTTTCGATCTGATCACTTTTCTGAGTGGCTCTACCCTAACTAAATCGGCCAAGCGGAATTGTGCAGGCGCCATCCGCAACTGATGTCATGAATTTTTTGGGGGGGGAATGATGATGAACTATCCCTGGCTAAGGTCGAGTATGATCTGAAGAAAAACCCGGAGTTTGCGAACATCGGAATTCGATTTGATTTCGATCTTTTTTATCCACCCGAGCGCCGAAGACCGCTGGATCTTAAGGAATTTGATCTTTCGCTTTTACGAATTGCCCTCAAAGACCGCAGAAAAGGAGGTCGGAGTACCAATCGTGCGAAAGGATCCTTAGGGGGTTCGGTGCGGAGAAATGTAGCACAGCGCCGGGGTTACACCACTCTCGCGATAAAAATACCTCAGGCATGAACCGCAGGAGGGGGTCCAACCCCCCCCTCCTATGTGACCCCGGTTGGGTCGTCTAGCTAGTAGAAGTGGAGGATAGGGGCCAGAGGAGCAGACGACAGAGTCCAATGATGGGAGACAAACAAAAAAAAAAAAAAACACTCCAGGCAGGAGAGCCTTGTGAATAGAACCAATACTTGTAAGAGGTTCTGCTCGCACTCCAACCAATGAGGGCACAGAAAAATTTGATGGCGGATGGTAAAATGTACTGAAAACTAGTTCGTTCGGTCGGGAATGCGGCGAAATTGTTTTTAAAGAGGTTCTCGAACCATTTTTTTTTCCTAGATTTTTTTCTATAGCGATCAGAACAAAGACGGTTTTCCCAAAATATTTTTTTTGAGCTACTGCGGATAATATGGTCTAATCTCCGAAGATCTATTACGTAGATACCGAGGATATCCGTAGATCAGCAGATACATGTAATCTACGAAGATCTTACACAGCCGTTACGTTTTTTTCGAAAGATCCAACGTACAAATCCTCACAGCTAGTGTACATCTGCCGCTTGTATGTGACCATCCGAAGCCGACTACTACCATTCGGGAAAAAAGGTACGTGAGACGCGTGCATAGCTCGATTGCGTTCGCTTGACCGTAGTCCGATGACACGAGGAGGCGGGGACCCGATCGGCGTCGGGGCACTCATCTCAGGCCGTGGAGGCGACGCTTCGGTCAGGTGGGATCACGGGGGGCGCACATGGTCGGTTCTTGTGCGACAGCAGTACACATTCAATGTACAAGGTGGTGGACTCGCCAAGTGTACGTCGGGCTGGGTACCTGTGAAGATACCAGGCGCGGACAGATAGATGATGTTCGTGTAATTTAATAACCGGTGGGACTAGACTATACCACCGTAGTCTACTGTAATGTAGGCTGCAGCATAATATTATACTACTTTGATCCACCAGACAGATAAGCTCGATTGGAATAATCCACCAGATAAGCTCGATTTGACAAGGGCCCGATATTGTGGGATGATGAGTAGTATTTTTCACTAGTGGACCTGCGTGATGTGTTGCACATATGTTTTCCTTCATGTCAAAAAAAAAAAAAGAGTTTTGGCCAGGGGACAACATCGTTCCGTCCCCTTGGTTGAATCTGCCCCAAATCGAGCTTATCTGGTGGATTTTTCGGCGGCGGCGTCACGAAGCATCGCCAAATTCGGCATAATGTGCATTGCAGGGAGTGCAACTACGCTCGTTCCGACCGTCAGACCGCCCCAATGCTCTCTCAACCCTTTGGGCATCGTTTTCGGAAAAAAAAAAAAGATAGAACCCGGGGACAGCAAAATATATGGTCCCCGGGGGGGCGGTAGCCTCGACGAAATCGGGCTCATGTGATGAACTTCGTGGAAAATGAAGTTCATTAGTGCCGAAATGAAGCGCAAAATTTGAATTGAAAGTGTAGAACGAAACAGCCGAGTGTTTGGGGCGCTAAACACAACTTTATCGCGCTTTTGACTGCCGGACAAGACGTGTTTTGCGCCACCTGGAGTGTATTTTGACGGTGAGGTAAGGTAGAGGTAAGATGCAGCAAAGAAAGCAGCACACTAAGCTCCTCTTAAGAGGACACCGCATTGTTATTAAAGCAGCTCTTATCCACAGAACAGACGAATATCAACCCATAAACCCAAGCCGTAATGTGCAAACAAAACTACCCAAACGGCAACCTAGCGGTGACCACAGAAGAAGCAGCGGTCGCCCAACCAACATGAAACGCCTACGTCTACAGGAGCGCCCGCAGTAGTACCATTTGAACAAACATGCAGTCAGCCAAAGGACTTGAGTCAAAACAGAAACAGATTCAGCTGTTGCCGATCGGAAAGTACAAAGTCAGCACCCTCGTTCGCCGACATGACCAGAAGAAGACGGGGAGATCCGTCAGCACGCCTTTCCACAGCCACTCCCCTTGCGTGGGCTAGCTGTTGTGGCGCCAAATAAGGCTGTGCTTACCAAAAATTTAAAAACAGCGGTTTTGAGCGATTCTCCGAAACGCCACGAGAACCAACAAAAGAAACGTTTAAAAAAAAAATGATGGGAAGGCGGTCAACCGAAGTTTCTCCGATTTTCACGGCGACTACCCTCTGTTTACCGTCGGGGTTGGTGTTCCTTTTGTGAGGAATGAGAAAAGACCTCGGTATTGAGCTCAGCTCCAGACTCTTAGGAAAGCAAGGAAAAAAACCGTTCAGAAAAAGTCGCACAGTAGGAAGAGATATTCAACTTTGACTCCAATCGAGCTTATCTGGTGGATCAGAGGAAGTATGCCGAATGATGTTTCGGAGAATTCTTTGTGGGCAACAACAAGTGTGTGTTGTTTTGTGGAATTTGTTTTTTTTGTGCAGTACGTTCGGCACTTTTTCTGGACGCATCATCAGCAGCCTGGGTCACGCACACATGATGAAAGGTTTTCTCGAAATTACATGCGGAAACTGCGGTGGAACAACAAACAGTAGTTCCCGGTCAACGACATCACGTATGAAGCATATTATGGTTGAGAGTTGCATTCCACCCGTTCACATCCTTTCCACACACACACACTACTTCTCACAGCGTCCAACCTCTCGCTCTTCTCACTCTTAACTCGACGACATCACGACACAATGAACAACTCACGGATGTCCACACCTGGTTGTTCCCGCGCAGCGAGCCTCGATCAAATGATCAACAACAACGTGGTTCGAGGAGTGGCGGTGGGGCATCGACTTTCAATGTCTACTCGCACTTGGGACAGGGCGACGTGGACAATCCCTACGAGCAACACAACTTGGCCGTAGTGGCTCCGAGAGATTTCTACGGGACAACAGATCCCATTAACCACAGAAGCAGCAGCCATAGGTAAGAATGCGCGATCGCTCGCTCAAGGTGAAACAAGAAGGGGGGGCAGGGCTGCATCGATCGACCGCACATGGCATGCTTTGAAAGAAGAAACTACAATTACAGGCAGACAGGCAGGCACGAGTTAGGCCCTTTGCTTTATGTCCAAAAGTAGACATGGCCGACTGCCGGCCCTTGGCACTGATTGTAGCCTTGACATGAACGGTTCTTGTTGTACATCTATCGGGAGGGACGGCTCGCTGGCAGGAACAATTATGACGTATGATCAGTGTTAACGGTAGTGCACGTAATGTGAAAGTAAGGGTCCTTTGGGGTCTTGTGCTGCACGCTCAGTAGTATCCATCTCGCCATTGACCTCCCAACGTCACTTCCTTGCGCCCCCTCCCGGGTTAGCTAGTACTCCAAATTAATCGTACGCCCAAAATGCCTCCTCTGCCTTACTAAGAGGTCTCCGTATCACCACCTCTCCCAAAAAGACGCTAGGATCCACTCCAAAAACAAAATAGTCTACTCGCAGCAAGGACAAACAATGTTACCACAACTTGTGGCATGTACGTTTACGTCCGGAAAAAACATCGCTCAAGGCACGGCAAAGCATGATGAAAAAACGGCGACTACTGTAGCAGGAGTGATCACGAGACTAACGGCAGTATCCTCGCCCTCCCACAATCAAGCGTGAACGTCACACAATGGGTGGTGCTTTGTTTGGTGGAGATCGCTTCCTCGTGCATGCAGTCTTCGCCGCGAGAGGATATAACAGGCACCAACTGCTGTTGGGCCAGACTTAAAACTCTTACGCCCGAAAAAAGCGTTGCCGACGTTCACGGGGCGGACCGTTGCATCCTCCATGCATGCATGTGGAATGTTGTGCATGGGTTCGCTCAAATTATACCTTTGGGCAGCAAACGGTCCCATCTCAACTCTGCCCGGGATTGTTCTTCATAAAACGAGGAAGTACGACCTACATGTAGTTCGTGTATAAGCACGAAACGACCAATGTACCCAATCGCTCATCGCTCTTACCCGCCACCCAAGACGAGAAGTTGCCTCTCGTGCTGCCGTTGGTGCTGGTTCGATTCGCCAAGAAAGAAGCGAAATAGCTCTCTATCCGTACCTACCTCTCCCTACTGTCTCTGTAGATCCGGAAATAAACGCCTGCCCCACTCTGGAATTTTTGTTCATCCATGTGATATTTCAGTGCTGGCAGCAGGAGAGGCGGCGGTTCAAGAGATAGTGACAGCAGGCGCTCTTTCGCCAGCGCCGGCGCTCAGGCCATCGGTGGCGGCGGATCTCCCCACGTGACCTTCTAGTTGTTGTTCTGCCGAGACACTGAGTTTGGGTGCTCCCCTTACAGTAGGTCACTTTTTCTCATGATTTGATGCGAAGATATCAGATGTGTTTGTTGGGCTCCTAGCGTTTTGTCACACAAAACTATTATTGCACCGCGTGTTTGTCCAATTCATGGTCGGTGAAGCCCACCCGCCTGGCCCATCGCCCGAATGTAGGCCCAAAGGATGGATCCGCTGCATTTTGACGTTCTTTCAGTGAACGATCACCACGTCTGTTTTCGAACATGTATTTATTGATTGTGTAGCGTCCAGGTTCTGTTCATGAAAGATAATTACTGACTGACGACGGAGAGATTCGTAAATTAATTGGGGCATCCTCCATCTTTGCGGTTTGAAGAACTAGGACGATAGGAGCCCGATATCAACAACGACGACCGTTCTCGACGCGTTCTTGAACAAACCGTGCATACATGTACGCCTTATCACCGAGCGTGAGACAGGGTTTGTAAAGAAACGTTTCGTGTTCGTTGTGCGCGGCACAGATTTCGTCTAGGCGCTGCCGCAGCTGGGGAGGCGGGACGTCATCATCTGTGGGAGCGGCTCTCGCCTGGGGTACCCCGACAGGCAACAACCAAGTTGCTGCTTCGGATGTCTTCTACCGGAGGAACATGGGAGAGGGGCAGCTTTCCAAACAAGAATGGTCGGACGGTCGGCTACTCGCGACAAGAATTCAGTACAACATATGTTCACTGAAGGGGGGATACGGGGATGGATCCAATCTGACCCGGGGATGCAAGCGACAAGAAGCTCGCTACAGAGTAGATCCTGGGACGTTGGCTCGCTAGAAACTAGGAGGCCGGTTCGTTTCGCGAGTGAAAGCTTAAGCTTTGCCCTCTAATGCGCGATCTGTCAGTACTAATATACTAACAGAAGACTGAGAGTGGCGCATGAGCGTAAAGACACGCTCGGAAACCGAATCGATTGCGATGGCGCGACGTTGGGGAGAGCTCGATTTGCCTCCTATCGCGATACAAACGTGTAGAATGTAATATTTACGGTGCTACAACGACCGAGTTGATTCTGCTACACACCAAAGGGTGCTTCGCCTTTTCGACCTGCGCATATTGTCCCCATGACCCATTTCCGTGCCGCCGACAGCTATTCAGCGCGTAGGTTCTAGGCGCCGCACCAAATCACCCACACGACCGACTTACAACACCTTCTCCCCTCCCCTTTCCTGGGCGACGAAACCCTATATCCTCCGAGGCACTGTACGGATGCAAGCGGCCAAATAAACATACAACAGCTGCGCACGGCAATGAGTGCATCCTTAACTCCGTCACACGGCTCGTCTGGTGTTGTTCCGATCACGATAACAGCAACAGCGTGGGGTTGACCTCTTCGCGCCTGAGCAGCGGCAACAGCAACGAGATTCCGGGTTTAGAAAGCCCGTACCCCATGCCGATCACTCGCGACGGCGTAGACCCCAGCGGCAGCCAGGGGCCTGGAGGGTACAGGAGAGGCGCTCATGAAGACGACAGCGTCACTGCTAACAATGCCGTTTACGGTCCTAGCGGTTCGCAACAAGCCCCACCGACGAGCAAGGTGCGAGAACGATACTGAAATGACACTGGGTCAGTCGGTCTGTCGGTCAGTCAGCCAGACAGTACTGTAGCACTCTCACACACACGTTCATTTTACAAAAAGTTCCTGGCTGAGGATAAAGCAAGTAAGGGTGAGGACTACAATATCAGTAGGGTTTGCTTGTGTTATGAGCTGATGGGCAGGAACTGTATCGTCCCCCTCTACTACCCTCGGCGAAAGGAAACCTTTGGCCGGCCTCTACTGGTACTCCTTGAACAGGTCGTGCGTCGAGAGACACCAATGAACCCTCCCAATTTCCTCCGAGGTAAGAGCATGTGGTGTTTTCCTCTGCCGATATTACTTAATTAACTCTCCACGTTTGTTTCTAGGTGAATGTTCGGTTAAAACACACACCGGATGCTCTTGATTGCTACATAATCCTGCTCATGCCTCCCTTCTTCAAAAAGGTACACTTGTCCCACGGCGGGCTCACGTCTTCCTCCGCTTACGGCTCGGGCTACGGGGGAGACCACAAGCCTTCGTCCTATCCACGACCGGCATGCCACAACAACACCGATCCCCGCCAAGACCAGGGTTTCGGCGGGTTTGGAGGCAAGTTCGGGGAGCGGAGCCTCATGACCGGTAGGAGCGTCGCTAACAGAGGCAAGGCTAGACGGGGTGGGGGCGGGGGTCTCACCCCGGGATACGCTCCGTCCAGCGGAGGAGGGGTCGAGGCTGCGCTCTCATCCAACGCGTTCGCTAGCGGGCACAGTCAGAATTGCGGGAATGTCATCACGGGCAGGCCGTCGTCTCGAGTTATTGCTCCGCCCGGAGGCCACTCTACGTTCAGTCTCGGGTAAACATGCTTCAACCTCTCAACCAACAAGAAGCTAATAAATGCATGTATGCGTTTACGCTTGCCGCCGCCGCCGCCGTCGTCGTCATCGTCGTCTTGGTTTGGTGGAGAACGACATTTGTCCTGGCTGGGTGGTAGGAATCAACTATATCCCACTGGTGTACTTGATGTTTCTTTTTCGTTGTCTCGGTGCGGGCAACACGTGCGAGCAGCGTCAGTCTGTTCCTTTCTTCTAGTTTCCCAAGCCATACCTCTGCAAGCTTGTACGTACTTACACCCGCCGTGGTGTCGTAACCTCTACTCGGTTGCTAGATTAATGTCTTGTTTCCGCAACGACTTTGCGATGGGGCGTTGGTGTTTCGTCTACCTCAAACCGATAGACTGCCACACAGCGGGGTGAATACGAAGGACTCTACAGTAGTTACTGTCAGGGCCATTTTCTATCGAGTTTTGTTGTGTCTAAATGCAACTGGGAGTCGCCTGAGACGTTTATCTTGAGAATACTGACTGCAACAGGCAGGGCAGGTCGGGGGGGTGTAGGGTCCGTACATCACCCGTTCACGTTTGGTGCCTACATCGCTAGATAGATACAACACGACTGAGACCCCCATTTGCAATCGGGGAAAAGATGGGACATATTGCAGAAGAAGCAGTTGGCGACCCCACTATGTTGCAAGCCTGTTCGTCTAGAGATCCATACGGTACGATATATCCTTATTGAGGTTTCACCGCGCCGTAAAAGAAATTGCGTCTGTCTGTCTGTCTGACATGATCACGTTCAGTCGGAACCTCCGAACCACGCACTCTTTTTCGCCAAACGCCCGAGTCGCGACAAACCATCCCACAGGTCGCCTTGCAATACTTTAAACGCCCTCAGCCAAGCCTGAAGCGGAACGCAGGGTCGTCGTGGCCTGGGTCCTCTCTATCGAGCGTCTCCTAGATTTGAATATTTCTTCCAGGTCGCAAAGGTTTCACACCGTGAAGAAACCTTCGAACACAATGACAAAACTTCCGGGTCTTTGGAGATGCGATAAAACTGGTCCAGGGATCAGCCTTCACATCAACCCTCCTACTCTTTCAATAGTCGGCGGGTGCAAAGCTTGGTTCCACGTCCGCCCCATCCCCATCCTCTTGGATGCGACCGAAAGTGGCCAAAACAGCAGCAGTGTCAATGTGTTCCTCTCGCTCGTCAAGAACCGCACAGCCCGACAAACAAAAGCTCAACAAGAAATACGCCGACAAAGTCTACTTGGTTTCGCCAACCCTTCAAACCTATCTATCTTGTTCTCTGTCATGATCACGTTCGTCGGAGGCTCCGAACCACGCACCTTTTTCTACGCCGCCCCCAAACACAGCAAGGCGCGCAATCTATCGTGCCCATGACGCGACGATACCACCGACATATTCCACCTCGTCCGGAATTTCACCCCTACCCAATAGCAAACGTGCCCCCTGGAAAACCCCAAAACACATCCCGATCGCGATTTCCATTCGAATTCGACAAACAAATAGTAAATGAAAGTTTCAATATAACTTGGCAGGCATTCGTTGGCAAAAAAAAAACACGCTTCGCGACACACGGCCATCCGCCAAGAGCGATGAGCTAGTTATACGGTTACCGCTCGGAGAGAGAGATGGGCAATCGTTGCACGCGGACTGCTGTCCCAGAGCAGGTCACGAAGATATACTTTATAGTGACACATCTTCTTCAGCAGAGCGCCGTTGCAAGAAGCGATTCTCGTCAATGTCGTCATCATCCGGACGACAAGGTCTCCAACACCGCCCTGAGTGCATAGGCCGCGGCCTTCGCACCCGGGTCGGGCACTCCCTCCAGAGACTCCGCGGCCACGTAGTTGGCGCGCCCCGCTAGTGCTTCCATGCCCCGCGTGGCCTCCGCCCCTTCCTCCGCCGCGGTGACAGCCTCCCCGAACGCTGATCGATTTGAACAACACCGTCAAGGAAAAAAGTGGAGGAAGATAAAAGGTTGTCTTGAGAGAACTGCTGTGTCGGAGAACTCCTTACGTTGACGACAATATTCTGGGCGGGGGGGGCAGCGAGTACCTAATTGCTGCAACCGGGAGTTGTTTCTAGAGACCACCACCCCAACACGACGAGGATGGGCGGTTTCATGGCACGACTGGTGGCAGGCGGCAACACATAGTCAGCAAGAGACGGACCGACTGCCAAATAACGACATAACCCCCGCTGTGAAGCGACCCCCGCTTCCTCATTTGCCTTGTCCACGCTACCACGCTCCCTCCCTTTCGTCCTGAGACGCGCCCCCCGCCCGGACACGCTACATGTACATGACACCGCACAAGCAACACGCGCATCGCAACTAACTAGCAATTCCCCGCCCACCTGAGGGCCCCTTTCGTCCGAGGACTTCCGCGGCCGGCACGATCGCGTCCAACACCGTCCGCATCCCGGCCTTAGCACCCCCGTAGAACTCCACCCCGACGACCCCAGCCACGAAAGCACGGCACCAAGCTGCCCCTCCGCCCTCTTGCGCTTGTTCTTGAGATGATGACGACGATGATGATGGTGGTGG